ACAAATAAAAGTGATGGAATAAATAAGATGATAGGACACTTAGTTAAGCGTTAGATCCTTACTATGATGTTTGTGATGTTATTCTGAGTGTGTATCCACACCGGGCAAGCTTGAAAAATATGCCTGGCCACGGTGGGAATCGAACCTACGACCTTTGGAATACTAGCCCAATGCTCTGCCAGCTGAGCTACGTGGTCAGGTCGGTTTCGAGTATGTGATATTTCGGAACTGAGTTTAGTTCCTTCGACATCAATGTAATCTAGTATTCCAAAGGTTGTATAAGTTTGATTCCCACCATGGCCAGGCATATTTTTCAAGTTTGCCTGGTGTGGATATACACTCAGAGTAATATCACAAACATCATATTCACCTTATTACATAACACCAACACAGAAAAAATCAAGATCCTTACTAGTTGGTCATAACTCAACTGTGGTATATAACAGACAAGTATTGTGATGTACAAGCGTACAAAAACCAGCCTAAAGCCCATTATTAGTAAAGTACAAATAATACAATAATTATGCATTTGTTTTGCTATTTTTGTAATTGTAACATTACAAATTTTACAGAAAATTTCTAGCATTTGACCCAGAAAAAAAATTTTCCACCCCTGGCGGGAAAATTGCTCAATTCCCGCAAAAATTAACGAATAATTAAAGAAATATTATGATTTATGCTGTTCCTGAAAATCCTGTAGTTCCTGTAGATCCTGTAATTCCTGTCCATGTTCCTGTAATTCTTGTAGTTCCTGTTCCTGTAGTTCCTGGGTCTCCAAACACCCAATTTGAAACTCTATACAGCTAGCATGCGTGCTCTTAATTAAGTCCTTTATTAAGACGTGTGAATTCCCGTTCCTTTATAAATAACCGGCAGGTAAATGCCACTTCTGAATGTTTGGCATCAGAATTTGTTGCTATTCACGACCTGTTTCACTAACCACTACCCCTGACAAGTTAGCTATAATAGGATTGTAATAACAATAATTAAAACATACCTGCGCATGCAAGAATAAGTATTGCCTCGTTTTGTAACTCAGAGTCGTGCGTATTTAAACTCTTCAAATGTCCCTTGATGTTCTTTGTACAGCTCGAAAGGATCACACTCTGTTTGTTTTGGGTACGGTAATGACTTATCCCACAAGAACTGCTATTAAAACGTTTTGAAAGATCGAGTTACTAGCCTGCGTGCAGTCTCTACAGGGGAAGAAAATTAAGGAAAGTAATTTTCCATCCTCCTTAAAGACTCCACGTGGGCTATTGATTTACCAGCTCTTTTTTAAAACATGTTATGATTGTTATCTGACACCGGGCGGCTTCCTATTTAAAAATATAGTCAATTTTGCAATAATAGACATTTATTTCAAGTGAAATGTCAATAAATATAATTTTTGGTGAATTTTTAAATAATCAATATGCTACTTGGGGATTGTCACGTAACGTCATTTTTGACATTTGTAGTACAAATGTCGAGGGCTCTAAAATTTGATTTTTTCAGTAGCCCCAAAATTTTATTACAGTTTCTCAAAGAGGAAACGTTGTTGTTTAATCTTGTTAAAATCTTATTGCCTCAAGGCATGTAGCAATATGCGTTTTTCGGTGTTGAAATAAAGCAATATTTTCATATGAGAAAAATCACTCATTTAAAACTTCCTAAAATATCGGAATTGCAGTCAGTGTCCGAATATAAAACGGAAAATTATCGAGAAATGTATGTTATTTCGTAATATTATTGTAGTTATTGAAATACTTCAACGCTAATTTTTTTAATGATTTTTTTATGAGGTGCGGTTAATGGGCCTTGAAATTAGCTTGTCATCTGTGAAAATAGAAAATCGGCCCGTTCTCCTGAAATAAAAACCTGATGAAGTTTTTAGTATTTTTTCCTTGAATAGTTCATCTAGGCGTACATTAGGGCCGGAAAAGAAAAATTTCAATTTTTTCTATATTGCACACCTTTGGCTTTGGTCGATTTTTACAGACGACCGCTCTTAAGTAGAAATGCTATTAAGAGCACTGTCTATCTTATTATATAAACAAGAACAAATGTTATGACTACTGTGTAGTTCTTAAAAGTATATGTCCTAGATAAAACATCAGCAACCGATCTGTATCTGACATTTTTTATGGTAGTTAAATATTGTTCCAATTCATTTTTTTTAGATTTACAGTAAAATGATAGTTTCGTGGAATTGGTTATTTGTTGTTTCCAATGTGAAATATAGTTGTTTTTTTATGTTGTCTAATATTATATTTATTTTCTCATTTTCAATAACATTTCCTAGATCTATTGGTTCATCATGTGTGGGATAATGGGCTTTAAGTGTTTTAACAATGTTAGAGTAAAATGATTTTTTGCCGTTACATGCTGTCAAAATTTTTGTGCTTACTAATCTGCTGTTAATTTTTCTCATTAGATGGTCAAAGTGGACACGTTAGAAAAAATAAAAAGAGTAGCTAGGACAAAATTGAATGTGGAGGACGAGATGAAGATATATAATAAAGATGGTGGGGAGGTGGAAGAGGAAGATTTGGTATTATTGAAGTATGTTTTATGCAATTTGTTTACAATATATTCCTCATTCAATGCCACATTTAAGTTAAAAACTATTATATGGTATTAGCTTATGCACCAGTCAATGTAACCCCCTCCCCTTCCCCCCTCCCCAACTGGGGGGTGGCAGGGATTTTGATATAGAGAGGTATTAAAAATACTCCAAGTTTTCCCAATACACTGTACATGTTGTATTTTAACATGAATTACAAATATATGTAGGGAATTTGACCCGACCAAAACATCAAAATCCAAATTCCCGGGGGCATGCCCAGGGATGAGGGGGGATGTCAAGGTTTCGATTTGATTTGTGCATTAACTGTACCAATACTAACTGTATTTCAGTATTCGTGAATTTTTAACCAAATGTTATATGTGGTATTAAATGTATGTATGGCATAAACAGTGCCGAAAATCTTATCATTATTAAACGTCGAACTCTTCAAAAAAGTAATGTCACAGGTTTTTAAAAAGTTTGGATTTTAAAGTTTATTTGGGTATTATTTGCCAATTGGGTGTATCCATTTAATTCATTTCATAAGTTTACCAGCAGTTTCATAAGTTTACCACATTATTCATTTTTCAGCATGCAAGAAATAATTGGCCACAATATGGATCATAATATAAGCTAAACAAGCATGAGTATTGGTGAGGGTTTGATTACTAACTCTTGTCAATATCGTTGCCAGAGATTTGCCAGGTGGAAAACAAATTCGTATAATAAATATGAGAGCCCAACATATAACTTTTAACAAAGCCATAAAACAGTTTTAAAAGATTGTAAAGAATTTTAATTGTAACGTTTTGTGTTAAGACATCTTACACGAGATGTGAATATATATAAGCTAATTATAATCTATTTACAAGGTGTTATGTTACTAAGGATAATAAAGGATAAGAGGGTGTATGTAAGACAGGACGATACAAATGAGGAAACAAAACAGACACAAGAAAACAGCAAATTACAGAAGGTTAAGCGGAACAGAGCTGCCCTGGATGTTAAGAGTAGGTTTGAGTTTAGATATAAAAAGGCTTTCGTTAATCAATAATTCACAAGTGTCTGAGCAGGAGGAAAGAATTTTGAAGTCATCAAAGTTGGCAGAATGCCCTGTAGTATTTAAGTGATTAAGTGAGAGAAAATACTAGACATGACTGGACTGGATGACGGCTGTCCTGTTATAGGAGTGAGTCCCAGGTGTTCCGATACTCTGGTGTGTAAATGGCGCATCGTTTGACCCACATACGACGCGGAACAGCATCAACACTTAAATAAGTATACAACACCAGATCTCAGGAACGTAGGAACTTTATCTTGTTTGAAGTAAAGTATTTGCTGATTTTCTTTATTCCATAGTCCGTATTCGGCCATTTCTTACCTAAAAATCTATTCTTGTTATAGGTAGACGATTAAATAATATTCTTTCAGCAATATCTGCAGCAATTGTCAGACATTTATCAGTTGTGCAAAAAAATATGAAAAATATATATATATATAAAACAGCATTGTCATGGTAACCAAACAACTTTTGAACTTATGCTCCATTGCAATAACTTTTGAAAACTAAAACTAATAATTATTGTGATTACCCTTATATGGTCAATCATTCTATTTCTCTCCCCTAACAACGCATTTCTTATTTACACCATATATGGTTAATCATACCCTTTTGCTGTTTGGGTCAAGGTCTTTACCCATGGTAACGTCTTTCTTGTTTACACCTTATATGGTTAATAGCGTCCCTACTGTATGCGTATTACCCTTATATGGGTATTGATGTAACTATTTTGTCAATATGTGCAGTATGGAATTTCTAACCTTTGTGGAGTTATGCAACGTTGGATTAAATTCAAATAACGTAAAAATTTACACCGACCTTTTCGTAAGCTTTACAGAATTTTGCAAAAGCTGTGGTGAAGAAAGTATCAAACGATCATTTATTAGATGCAAGCAACACCATGAAAGTATACCGCAACAAACATCCACCAACCTGACGCTAATACCCAACCACAATCACCTACCTGCACTGTTACAGAAAATTCAAAATCAAGGTGGTTTTACACAAACTTTACAATTACATCACCCACACCCAAAGTTACACCACAAACCTCTAACAATGAAGCAAACACAGATCCCTCCTTACTGGGTGACGAAGTAGCATCTGCAATCGAAAGCTGTGACCTATCCTATTTTACCGAAATAATAAAGGAATCATCACCTGAAAACAAAACGATTGAAAGTCCCAGTATTTGTGAGGAAACCTTGTTGGAAACCATCGACTCAAGCGCTATAAGCCCTCTAACATTCCGTGAAACCCCATCGTTACCGGTAACCCCCCCCCCCCAACAACTGTTCGTCCCCAGGGAAAAAATATGTAGCAGATCAAAGCACTTTATAACGAAGATCACCCCCCCCCCCAAAAAAAAAAACCATACCCCGAAAACGAAAGCGCATGGAAAAACCGCTGGATGACGTCACCTGTGGTGGTGGGTGTCCAACACGTGAAAACATGCTACTAAAAATCGCCAACGGAGATGATTCAAAAGAGACAGCATCAATTTCAAGTCAGGAACTAATTCTACTAACTGGTGCAGGAGGAGAAAGAAAAAGAAAAACAATTTTGACAAAATACGGATCTGACATTAAATGTACGGCTAACAAACACTACATCTCTTATGAACTTATAGACAACTTAAGACGAAAAGCCCTAGAAACTATAAAAGAACAACGTGATTTGCTAACCAGTCTTAGCGCTATGTAATCTCTTGTGGAAATTCATATTAAGGATGCCCAAAAAATGTAAATATTTTTAAATTCAATGTTAATTAAAATTGATTTTAATGCTTTTTTACCAAATTTTGTTGAAAAAACGGGAAAACCCGTTATTTTTTACCCACCTTTTTATCGCCAAAAAAACACGCACCGGAAATATGTCACCACCGGAAACATGTTACCAGTCACAGCTTATATGACAAGCGCCAAATTCAAAACTACTCACTTCGGTCGACCATGGCTTCGGATACACATCTCTGTGACGCATGTGTTAGACAGTGTTCGACGAACAGTTAGTATAACATGACGTTTATAGAAACGCGATAGGATCAGTAGGACCGCGGGCGAAAAACGTAATGAGCCCATTTAAGTAAACAAAACGAGATATATAGTTTTTAAAGGTTTTATTTCGTATGTTAAAAGTAAAATAAAAGTGGACAAACCAAGAAAGAGTATTATTTCCTCATAGTAAAGAAACCATTTAACATTTGGGGGCTCAGGCGGGAAACATTTTGACGGTTTTATGAGGAAAATTAATGCTAAAAGACGGTGCGAATGTGAGAAAGCGACCTGGATGTAAATTATATTTGATGATATTTGGCTTTGTTTAACATATTTATGGATGAAATCTGAGAATTGTGAGGAGTTATATGTTTCAAATACTCGGCGATGTTGGACGGTCTTGACTTTTTATATTAACAGAAGGTACTGTTAAATATTTACATTGGATAATATAGTATAAAAAAAGACATGACCTTTGTACTGTGACAATATCAAGATGTCAGACCAAGAAATA